TGAACATTTTGTAACAGGAGTTATTGGACTGCTGGTTATATAGAAAATATAAATGTTATATTTTCCTAAAATATTTACCGCTAATAATGAAAGTTTTTTCATAAGATTCTCTGCCTTATTTTCAGAAACTTTATAACTGGAAGAATATGTCTACAGTACCTTAGAAATAAAGCCCATATCCTCCTTTTCGATCGCCTTATTCAAGGTCTCCGAGAATGAATGCTGGGATTTGATGAAGACTCTGTGCAATATGTATATATATATTATGTGAAATGGATTGAAAGAGCTTTTATTTAATTCAGTTATTTTTAAAGAAGATAATCAAAATTGGTATCCTTTAGTAGGTGCACCATCACGACAGACGTCGTGAAGATATTTAATTCCGGCAACATCTGGTGTTACGTGTGTAATTGTTTTTGTCATTCTTTTCTTCAGGTTGTATGAGGCTCTCAATTCTTTCTTTAAAATCATAATTTTTAAGAAAACCACAGGAGAAAAGTCTAATATTCTTGCGGATTTATTTCGAACCAAAGGATGGGCCCATTTTTGACAATTTTCCATTCTGAAAATCGAAATTTCAGCTTGTCTCGCATGATGTTCAGAATGGGATGATGCTCCATCTTGTTGAATGATCTGATACTCAACTTCTGTTTCCATTTGCTGGATCTGAGGAAGTAAATCGTAAGGGAATCCTCAAGGGAAAGCGAACCGCAGCATGTCCAAGTACGTACTAAAGTTGATATTAATTTCAACAAGGAGCCAAAAATCTTGTTACTCACCATATACTGACCAAATCTCGAATGTATTCATGTGGCGCATACTTATATGTATCTCTTATAACCTCAAATTCGCCAATTGTGCTTGTATGTAAATCAGTCCAATTTTGTATATGGAATGTGGTCTCTTCCGGGATAAGAACATGTTAAAGAAATTTTGGTTCCTCTAGCTCATTGACGGCATAGGTAAGCCTAACGTTGCTTATCCTACGGTTTGACAAAACTCAAAAACTGTATCTAATAGAGATAAAACTTCAATCGTTTACGCGTGACTTAAAACCCAAGTAGCACGGTAACGTCGTAACGACTTCGCAAACTGGTTGCGAGCCGTGTTGCAATATGTCGTCTTTAAGACGCTCGGATGTCCGCGAAACTCCACTGTTTTGCAACCGTTGTAAAGACGTCTTTATTATGTCTTTGCAGATGAGGTTTTTTGTCGCATAGACGTCGTTATTGCCTCTTTTGCAGGTGATATTTTTGTTGTGAAAGCATCGTATCACGACGTCTTAACGACACCTAAATGTTCGCCAAATTCCACCTTTCTGCAACAGTTGTGAAAATGTCGTTACTATGTCCTTGTTTTACATATTGATTTATGCAGAAAAATAAGCTTAATAATTAATATATTTTTCTTCTTTTTTTTAAATTTTGTATTCCTTATATTTATCTAAAGTTTAAATATTTTATCATTTTCTGAAAACCAGAAGATAATATATTTCTTCTCTTTAGACTAAATATGCATAATTAATAATAGCTTTAATTATTTTCAATACTTTAAACTATATTTTTAAATAACTTAAATTCTAAGTTACGATTATTTAAGATTTCATCATCTTTTTTTTCTTAAGTGTGGGTAATTATGAAAGTGGTTATTATAAATATATAACATTAATAGTAGGTTTTAAGTAAATAAAACTCAATTAGACATGAATAAAAGTGTATATGTATATATATATATATGGGTAAAAAAAGAGCGTTTCTGATAATCATTATCACATTTATTTCTGTTAAATCTCAGAGATATTGAAAATTGCCCCTGTCATGATAAATTAGGAAGCGGTTCTTAAGGTAATATAATCAGTATTTTACTTGAATTCAAGTTATAAATTTATTCACGTTTCACAGTAAAAAATACAACCATTAACTTCTATATCTCCAAGATATGCAAATGAAAGACTGTATAAAGTAGTTAATAAATCTGATCAAAAATATTTCATACAAAAATATCCCTAAATTTAATAACTTCCCATATTCATATCTAAAATGGGTACTATTCGGTTTCGAGGGCCGTAAAAAATCGCCAAACTATTGTTGATGCCAATGCTGCCAAAAATAATTGCGGCAAGAAAGGAAGTACTATAATAGTAAACAACTATCTAAGATTGATGTTTTAATTTAGATGAAAGGTTAATTTCATATAATACTTTTTTATTATTATAATTTATATGAAAAAGGCTAAACATGACTTAATGGAAACATAAGAGTAAATAACTATTTCAGATCATTATTATAATTTATATAAAAATTGCTAAACATAACTGAATGGATGCCTGCATCGCTATTTCGCTACCGACTTATCGCTAAAGAATAATTTCATCTCGTTGGTTGTTCAAACTAATTTTCTATAATGAATGATGCCTTTTCTTTGAAACTATTCTCGGTAAAGTGCAGAATCGCTCACTTATTTGTTTGCCGCTTTTTACAAGGGTAAAAACAATTAGATTTCTGTCAATTTTCTTTTAGTTTTTAAGTGAAAATAGGTCGATGTGTACATAGAGAAAGTCAAGGGTGTACACAGTGCCACTTTTGTGCAATTCTATGATTTTTTTTGAAGTGAAAATAGGTCGATGTGCACATGGATACCGAGTATGTGCAATTCTTAAAAACGCGTCAAGCAGTGGGTGATTCTGCACTTTACCCAAAATTCTATTGCCGACTTTTCGTCATGGGCAATTCTCAAATTGTAAAATCCATAGGATATCAAAAAAGGATTTAAAATCAAAAAAGGATTTAAAAATTAAACTAGTATTTCAATGGCGTCTTAAGAAATATAGAACTATATAAATTTACGCAATCTGAAATCAATTTGGCGCTTTTGCGCATACATTTTCGCTGCAATTTTTTTACGGCCCTCAAAACGGAATAGTAGCCTAAAATGAAAAAATAACGGAACAAACAACATACATCACAGCACTATTTAAGAAAAAACATGAACTAGTAATGTTTGAGGGTATAAATATGAGAAGGAAGGTAACAGAACTAAATAGTAATTTGAGCAAATTTGAGTAAATTAATAAAAAAATATGTGTGTTTTTTAAATAGTAAACAATTAAAAGTGCAATAATTATGGATTGCAGTATTTACTAGTTCTTAACACCATTTCTCTCGATCATATGTAATGTATTTACTTATTTTTAGTTTCTATATTTCAGAATAGAGGTAGATTACAATGATTATTTCATGCACTTTTTATAATCAATAACTTTCCTTTTGTTACTGTACAGAAATAATTTAAATAATATACGAGAGTATACGATCGCAAGCTAAGTACGTGAAAGTAAGCTCTTCGTTAAATAGCACAGAATGAAACTTGTTTCTATTTATTATAAATCTCTTTGTTATCACAAGCACATAAAAAGTAAGCGAAGGAAATACTTAAATTTAATAAAAATAAAACCTAATTTCCAACATTCATTTATTGAGATAATCTAATAAACATACATAACGCCGTACTTTTAATTTTTCTCTTTCTTTTCTTATACTATAGTACTAACAGTATCAGGACTGGTATTCCTCTTTACTTGCTTTGGAAACATGAACTGTCCTGACTCGGAACAGGGAGCTTACTCAAGCTATGTTCGATAAATTGTGAAGTAGACAAATACACACAGGAAGGGTATACGAAACCCTTTATTTTTCTATCTTTACAGAGCTTTCCGGAACTTCGGAATACAGAGACCAACCACTTGTGGTCTGAACGTAAGAATATAAAAATACTAACTAAAACTCTAACTAAACTAACTTTGGATTAATATACAAGTGCCTACTTTAAGATTGGCCGTTAATTAACAAAAAAGCCGTATGTAGTACAGAGAGCTGCTAAAACTACGATACGTTAAAAATTATCAAGAGGATTAAACCTCTGGCCTTGAAGGCAACCAGCAAACGAGTAAAACTACTATGGCCAGCGGCCTGCTTCTAATAACTCCTTCCTCTCTCTTGCTTGGCAAAAAGCCACAACTTAAGTACTTGGGCGTTAGCAAGACAAGTTTGCATAAATAAGTAAAAGCTTTTAATTCTGGCCGGAAGTAGAAAATAAGAAGTGATAGTTGATAGTAAAGATTTAAAATAAAATAAACGTTAGTAAAACTTAGGATCCTTACAACAGCACTATTTGTCAGACAAAACTAGAAACTAAAATTTATTCTTATGGAAAGGGAAAAAAACTTCTCTTGCGAGGTACGTTTTCGTGGGCAGATCGTGCTCTGACACTGAATTGTTGATTCTCTAAGATAAATAACCAAATTAATGAGACAACGAAAACCATATATCAAAATAATTGCTTAATATAAACTAAATTATTGCTTAAAATGTTAGAAAACGATTTTAAATGTAGATGTTATTCGATGTTAATGAAAAACGTATTGCCATGTGATATAAATGATCTAAACAATAAGTTTAAAATCTGTTAAAATATAAATCGTAGAATAATAATAAAAATCAAAAGTACTTTTTCTTGAAGAATCCCAAAACATATTCATTTTATGCAAAGTACCCCAGAGATATTTTCATTTTGTATTGCAATAACATTATGTTTTACAGTTATTTCATTATCGTAATTTTGTATTCCAGAACACCAGGGAACCGATCATAAAAATTATTTGCTAACCAATATCCTAACAAGAAGACTGCATGATCTATATTTTCAAAACGTATTTACCACCAAAAGCGCAGCAATCCAAAATTTAAATAGTTTTAAATTTTGTGAGATCGGACAGAGAGAATGGTACAAACACAAGGTTCTAGTGCTAATTTTCTGAGAGAAAAATTTAATTATTATGAGTTATAAAATACTTGTATGGTCCCTTAAAGCATGAATCCTAGATCCTAGTCTTGTGAACCTAGGTAATAATCAGGCCTTGATGACGATCATTTATTATGTGTAGACAGTAGTACCTTTGATCGTTGAATATAAATATTTGACGCGCAAAAGTATTGCCATACTCACCAAAGAAGAGGTTGATCTCGTGACCGATTTCATGCCCAATAACGGGTCCCATGGTTGCGTAGTTCAGTGGTCTAAAAGTGTTATAAAATAACAATTATTTCTTCTAATACTGAAAATCCGATATCAAACAAAATACACCTTTATTAAAAAAATTTTTTAAGAAGCTATGTTTGATTAAGCTAAGCCATTTTATGAAGCTATGTTTGATTAAGGAAAAGACCTTCAAACTATTTAACAGGCAAAATAGGTCTTACTCTAACAATGAAATTTCATTCCCAGTCCTGCAGGTATTTAAGCGGACTGAGTGATCATACGCTGATTTCAAGTTAGTGGACTTCTATGAACTTCACTGAAGTACGTCCTTTGTTTTCTTCACTTTTTCTTCTTAAACTCGTGGCCATCCAAAACTTGTTCCTTTACACAGAATTCAGTTATCTACAGATAACGGCACCACCGTCAAATATCTCGAGAGCGCAGATTGCCTTTAGCTGCGTTTCACAATTCCTAACCTTAAAATAACTAGCTGAACGTTGAGAGGAAACAATGTAATCAGAGCGCCCTGCTGTTAACTGTTCAAAAATTAAAATCCTACTCTTCCAAACAGTCAGTAATTTATTCCGTGAAGATACCTGAGGAGACGAAATAGGACTTCATAGTTAGTTCATTTTTTTTAGATAACTCTGCATTTATTAATGATATTAAGCAGAAACCAACTAACAGTCAGTAGTCTGCTTTCAACCCTTGATGTCTTTTTCCGCAGCCCAAGCTAACTAATAATATGATCTGCAAAGTAACCCTTTTTTCAGTCACGGAAAGAAACAGGAATTGAGTTTTGAAATCTGATGCTTAAGAAAATTATTCACATTTTAGTGGTTTTAGCAGAAATGTGCTTGCGTTTAAAAATACGTATATGGATGAATGCATCTTAGAAACTGATGTCCATCTTATCATAGAAACTGATGTCCGTCTTCAGAATTTTCGAAGATAACACCATAAAAAACTATATTTGAAGAACTTGTTGCTTTGCATAAGAATCTGCAATGCTTTAACACGCATTGAATTTGAAAAGTGTAAATAAAACATATTCAAAATAGTGTTTAGGGTTTTATGTGTTTATATGATTTTTTTTTCGCATGTTAAAAAAAAAACTGCTAAAAATTATTTGAAATAAATATATGCCCTGTCTTGAAGTAAATCATATTTAAACATTCAAGGACGCATTATTAAAGACTGACCGAAGAAAATATATTATATGGCCAGCAACACCAACAAATTCTTTAAATTCGACTTCTCCTATTTAGAAGATGGCCGCTTCTGATACTAAAGATAAAAATGGCTGCTTCTGATATTAAAGATAAAAATAAGCAGGAAATATTATTAGTTTAATTGACATTTTTCGTTAACTGCGAGAATTTTCTATCGACAAGTAGAGAGAATATTCTTTTTTTTTTTTTTTCTTTTAACACATTCATCAGGAATGGCCAGTATTTTAAGTGCCAACATGTCGCAAAGACATTATATTCTTTCAAACATCCATACCTTCTCCGGGATTCGAACCAGGGTTCAAGAAGTACGTCACTTGTTTCCATTAACATAATTTTTTTTCGTTTGCATAACATTAATTCATATGCAATGGGCTGCTGAGAATAAGAAGTTTTAGGACATGTTACGAACACTTTGTACAAAATCTAGTCTATCTTAGTACTGTCTGAATTGATGACCTTTAACCAATGTTCAGGAAAATTTTTAATCCCGACTATGTACAGTTGAAATGATTTAGAAGCAAAGAAGTCTGCGACCTCCACTGTGTGACATTATCATTGAAAGCGGGTAGGAATGTTTTAAATCGTTCCGTCGGATTAAGCCCAGCTCATTCATTTCTCTACATCCAAGTTCACATGAGTTCTGCGCAGTCAATAGCTGAACGCCGATCTAAATGTGGCTGATCTTTAAACTTGATATAGTTATTATTGGATATAGATTATAGAAGTACGTGAATCAATAGTTTACATTTCATTCTCTCATTTTATCCTCCTTGAATACGTTGTTAAGATAATAACTTGACTTAGAGACACTGTGTTTAGGTTTGAAGGTGAAGAGCTGACAGCCGCGAAGAAAGTCTACTCAAAGTCAAGCTAGAGCTGATAATTAAAGGTTGAGTTTAACCTGAATGAATTCTTGTCTGCCTCATACCATTTTTGTATATACACTGTAGAAGAAATTACGACAGCATTCTGGTGAAGTAATTTTTCTGCCACAGTTTCGACTGCTGTCTAAAATGTATACATATATATTTTCTCCAACGACATTTAATGAATAGTAAATTTTTGACCGTGAGCAAAGGAATTTTGTTTATTATTGAGATAATACTAATTTTAAAGCTTAAGAATTTAATTGCACCTGCAGCTGATAATTTCAAAATAATTTAAAATATTTATGATTTGCAGTAACAAAAAATCTTTTCCTTTTCGTTTGTAATACGTGCATGTGTATCTTATAAATATATTAAAATGAAACTTAAAAAAAGAGCGGGAACTATCCGAACTTTAAGAGAAGCGAATATTTAAATAGGTTTGCTTACAATTCAAAACATTAATTCGACGAATTCTTAGGAATCCATAAAATTACAGGATAGTTATAAACTAAAGAAAAAAGGAAACTTACTCTGGTAATCTGTGCAAATACACTGGTGGTAATAGAACACCGAGCCGCAAATCTGTAAATTTTAGTTTTAAATTATTCTACGTTTAATAAATCTTAAATATAATAAGTACGATAGAAAAAAGATCATTTTCATAAATAAAAAGATTATAAACTTTTATTTCGTACCTATATGTCCATCATACTGAAAGGCGTTGAAGACGAAGGGGCTAAAATATATTGAATGAAAAGTATGAATGGAATTACGAAGGTAAATAAATTAATGAATAAATAAAACAAACTTATTAATGCGTGCTGTTAATAGCAACCAACTTAATAGCTTCACTAAATTGTTACATAGCTTATTATGTTTAGCGATGACAACTAAGATGTTCAGATAGTCTATCATTAAGCTGGTGGTTAGTATATGAATCTGCTACCTTTAACAAATGATAGCTAAATTTGTTGTTGTTGCTGCTAATTCTCTTGGGGCAGGAAAGCCTACACCAAGTCCAAGGGACCTTGCCGCACAAGTAAATCATCTTGCTCAGTCCCGACAGTTCTCTCAGAGAGACGCCTATACAATCCAGTAGGTGAGTAGGAGAGGCTGGGGGGGGACAGAAACACGAGGGGAGAGTCCTTTCCGCCCGCTGAATATTGCATCGAAGATGCCCGCTTCTGAATCTGGCCATGGCCGTTTGGAGAGACCTAGTTCTTTTACTCAGAAGTGACAGGCCTGGTTGCTCAGAGATATATCATTGGTGAGCAGGAGAAATTTTCTACACCATGTTCGTATTATTTTTGTAGTAGGAATGTATTTCAGTTGGGCTTAAATCAGTAGGAGTGGATGTAGGGAGATTACAACCCTTTCTTGCAAGATCGTCAGCTATTTCAGTACTATACACCCCAGCATAGGACGATATCCACTAGAGATATATTGATTTAGCTGTCCAAGCTCGAAAAATTTAGATATGATATTCTGACCGGTCTTATCCATGATCTTAGACCAGTTTTTAAGGTACTGTATGGAGCTTATACTGTGTGTTAGAATCCATATAATGTCACTACTCGAACAGAGAGCATAATCAAGTACTTTGCAGATGTGTGGCGATAAATTCCGATATAAAGACGGAGCAATGATCAGAGCTTCTGATGCTCCATCTGATATCTCCTTCAGGTGTGTTACTATAAATACCACTCCCTGCTCTACCCTTATATCTGATCTACTTCCATCTTTATATATCACAAAGGCCTGGGCAAGAATATCATTAATGATTTCAAGAACCATTTGCCTGAGGAGTTCCGGGTGATGGTTGCCCTTGACAATATTAGTCGACAATTCCTCAAGAGTATTAGTATGGTTATGAATGAAGTATCTGGAGCATAACGGCTAAAGTGTATAGATATATATAGATGATCTATATAGATGTTTCAACATTAAAATTGATAAAATTCGAATTCCACACATAATTAAGTGAGAATTAAGTGAGCTGTCTTGCTTTAGACGTTCATTGCTTGTCCAATTTAAAATAAAGGCTGAGGTCCAATTATATGGACCGAAACTCTTGAGCTTGTTAAAATACTTGTAGGATTTCACCTTAAAAGACATTGCCAAAGGCCGGATGTCCGCCTTATAGCGAATCACATCGTTTGGGAACTATTTCTAAGGCCGGTGAAAATTCTCGCCGCACTGAGCTGTACTCTCTCTAATTTCCTCAAAGATTTGATAACCATATTCAAGGACAGGGCGGACTAAGGTGATGTAGGTTATTCTAAGAGTAGAGGTGTAAGAACCCTAGTCTCTACCCGAGATATACTTCATGATCCGAAGTCTTTTTAATCCGTAGTCATAGTAAAGCAATGAATAGATACTGTTAACGATTTTTTTAATATATTTTCTCGAATGGCAACAACAGGGTATTTTGATGGAAGCCGATTTGAACGGTAATGTTTTTTTGAAGTGCGCATAGTAATTTTGTATTTCAGTTGTATGGTATCATCATAACGTTGTATCCTCTCATCAGTGATATGTACGCAATGCGAGAATAAAGATTTATTAATATAAGTGAAGAATATTTCTTAAAGAAAGTAAGTTAAGATTGAAGGTTTATATTTATTTTAACTAACATTTATTTTTTAAGTTTAAACTATCTTTCCTGTCAAGCCTTACTTTCTCCTGGAATTGCCAATGCCAGAGTACGTAAATTTTAGTAGAACGCGCAAGGATTCAAATTGTCTGCGGAAGTATTCTGAGTTAAATAGAAGGGAAACGAGTTCGAAAGTGTGCTTTCTTGCTTCACGAGCGTGGAGGTGGCTAGTTAGAAATTGAAGAACCACGCCTTTCGGCCTGTGTGCTTGCCTCGGCAGATTGTTAAATCTTTCAACGTAATATTCAGAAGTTTGCTGAATTGTCAGCGGTATCTTAGAACGCGGTTAGGTTAGTTACGTTTAGAGAGCCTCGTAGTTACTCACTTGTTGTTATTCTTTTTTTAGTTTCTTATTTTTATTTTACCGCCGGGTCGGCGTAGTTTGTGAGCGTCAAGAGCACGCATCTGTAATTTCTAAAGTTGAATAAAAAGGGATTTAAACCCTTCTCAAGACTTTGAGTAAATTTCCAGTTTCATAGCAGTTCACCACTTTACTGCGTGCAAGGTTGGAAGCGCGCAACATTACATTGGCGCCCGAACACTTGTCGAACTGAAATGGCCGAAAATTGGATGGAAGCCTGCTGGACAACAACAAGAAATGGCAAGCCAATTGGAAGGATTTGGATACCTGGTCCAGACGATGAGAGCGTCAATGAAGCCAAACGTCAATTTCGACGGAAAAAATTCGGTGGCGATATTTCTAGAAGGCCTAGAAAATCACTTCAGCTCTACCCTGTGCCTGAAAGACAAAAGTTGCCATCGCCACATCTGCACTAAGAGGACAGGCCGCGCTATGGTGGAAAAAATATAGGCAAATTTTTATTAGGGGAATTCGGAGGCCAGACATATACATTTGAAAATTTCAAAAAAATCGTTATTAAAGGCCTTCCCCATAGTGAAAGATCGAGCAAGGCTAGAAGCCGAACTATATAGTTTTTATCAACGGATATAGAAAGAGTTGACGGACTTTATTCTGCGAAAAATTAAGCTGACGGATATGCTGTATGGGAAGAAACCCGACGCGGAGATTATTGAAATAATCTTACCAAGATTGCTACCTGCTGTTCAAGATTACTTTGAAATTAGAAACCCAAGCACATTGCAGGAGCTCTTCGAATTGGCGGTGAAGTTTCCAAAATCGCAGAATAGCGGAAAAAGCTAGAGGGGCAATCGTATTCTCAAAGTATCCGAAGGCAATCTTCAAATGAGCAGACCAGAAATGCAAACCGCTCTTATGGGGGAAAGAGCTATCAAGCTAACTCATCGAAGCTCGAAGGTCAAGGCCCAAAAAGGAAATTTGAAAACAACCGTCCGCGTACCCAGAAGGCAGAAGTTGAAAGGAAAGCTTTAAACGAGTAGAGGGGCCTGTGAAAGAAAGGGTCCAGACCCCGGAAGTTTTGAAAAAACCCTCAAAAAATATTTAAATACGGTCATCGTAAAAAACTCACATCTACCAATTATACAAGTCCTGGTTGGCGATGTACCAGTAGAAGCCCTCATCGATACAGGAGCAGAACGTAATTTTATGAGTGATATTTTTTCAAAGAAGAATTTTTAATAGGTTACGATTATTTAAAAATAAAAACACAGAAATATAGCAGCGCAAGGACAAACTGTCAATGCATCGGGAAAATTATCATTAAAATACAGGTTCAAAAGGAAAGCCTCAAAGTATTAATTTTTGTAGTAAAAAATTGCAAAAGTCCACTTATTTTAGGTATGGAGTTTTTAAGGGCCGCGAGGGCCAAACTGAATTTTCAGGAAAGTTCTATTGTGCTGGAGATGGACCGGAGGGTGGTGGAACCAGTGGAACAACCGCAAGTTGACCTTAGCCATTTGAATGACCATGAAAGTCAAGCCATCCAGCAAGTGGTGAGTACTTTTTCAAACTTGTTTTCAGAAACGGCCTGGTAGCTGTCAAATAGTTACGCATGAGATACAGTTAACTGCCGACAAACCTTGTAGGACTAAACCTTATCGCTATGATAAACAAAAGACCAAATCATAGAAGAACATATTCAGGAAATGTTAAAGAACAAAATAATAACGCCCATAAATAGTGAGTACGCGAGTCCAGTCGTACTATGTAGGAAAAAGAACGAGTTTTCCTCCTTCGGATAAAAGGGCTTGGAGGTTTGCTATCGATTACAGAAAACTTAATAGTATTACTAAATTCCCAGTTTACCCTTTGCCGGTTATAGAGGAAATTATTAGAAAGATTAAATCTACAAGATACATGACTACTTTGGACTTAACGTCTGGCTACTATCAAATAGCTATGAGACCCGAAGACATACATAAAACCGCGTTTATAACAAAATCGGGCACTTATGCATTTTTACGCATGCCCTTTGGGTTGTGTGGGGCCCCATCAACATTCCAGAGAGCTATGGACATTGTTCTAAAGCCTGTCCTAGGAAAATCGACTTTAATCTATCTAGATGATATAATTATAACGAGTAGTAGTACGTTGGAACAACATATTAAAGATCTAGAAGAAGTTTTTAAATTATTAAAAGAGGCCGGTCTTACAATTAACGCCTCAAAATGCAAGTTCGTTCGCAACTAAAGAACTTAAATATCTGGGTTATAAAATTTCGCAAAAGGGTATAGAAACTCAAGATTCAAAAATAAAAGCCAATCAAGAATTTCCCACCTCCCAACACCGCCAAGAAACTTTCTTCTTTCCTTGGGTTATGTTCTTATTATCGGTCATTCATAAAAGATTTCGCTAATATTGTTGAACCCTTGTTAGTAATTAAAAGAAAGAAAAGTAAATTTCACGTGGACAGCGGAAGCAAATACCGCATTTGAAAGGTTAAAAGAAGCGCTCATCAATGCCCCTGTTTTGAAATTCCCGGAGGGGGACGAAAACCTGGAAATTGCAGCAGATGCGTCGGACTATGCTGTGGGTGGGGGCGGTTCTTATGCAAAATGGCCATCCTTTGGCATTTTTTAGTAAAACGCTGAATCCTACACAAAGGAATTATACAGCTACAGAGAGAGAAACATTAGCCGTATTAATGGCTGTATACAAATTTCGAGTTTATTTCGGCAAAGCGCCAGTAACAGTCTTTTCGGATCATGCGGCTGTTGGTAGACTTTACTCGGGGAAAAACCTAACGCCCAGGTTAATAAGATGGGCTTTAAAACTCCAAGAATATAATCTCATAATAATATAAACCGGGTAAGGAAAACAATGTAGCTGACGCACTTTCTCGTATAAAACTGGACGATGAAGGAAATGAACTTAAATGCGCTGTGTTGACTTCAAAAATTTTAGATTCTAGAGATACAATTATTGCTGAATTGAAAGCTGATCCTGAATTTGGAAGTATCTATGCATATTTGAAAGACCCCGAAAGCTTTGAGCACACAGATATCGATGCGATAAGAAATAGAGCAGAAAACTATGAAATAATAGATAATTTATTATTTTATACGAAAACAACAAACGAAAATCTCGAGTACAAACCAGTCATCCCAGCCTCGCTTCGATTAAGCATTTTGAAGGAATTACACGACGCGAAAACAGCGGGTCATTTAGGGGTCAGAAAGACTTTAAAAAGGGTACGCGCGAGGCGGTATATTTCCCGCAATTATACAAAATAGTAACTGCGTATGTCAGGTCCTGCAATCAATGTCAGTTAATAAATGATATTAATTACAGCCCGGCCGGGTAC